AGACATGGAAACATGGAACAGACTGATGAATCTCAGAGGGAAGGGGGAGAGGGGAGGGCGAGAGGAGATTAAATAAAGATCTTATATGCATACTAGAGGCCAGGTGCACGGATTCTGCACTGGCGGGGTCCCTTGGCTTGGCCTGCGGGGATCAGGCTGAAACCAGCTCTCCAACATCCCCGAGGGGTCCTGGCTTGGAAGAGGGCACAGGTCAGGCCCAGGGACCCCACCGGTGGCACCAGGCCTCTAGTTTCCTATAAAAACACACATCTTTTTTTTAAATCAGGAAATAATATGTTGTTACCACAACCTATATATCAAAAACCTTGACTGATGGACCTGGATACATACGGAGAGATAATGTTTTCTTACTAGAAAGCTCAGATTTGAAAAGATATTAATTATTTAATTTATAAATCCAATGCATATTCAGTCATAACTATAGCAGGATTTTTAATGGGCTTTGTTAAACTGATTCTAAAAAAATATATTTAAGAGAAAATATGTAAGATTTTAAACAGGGACAAGAAAATATTTTGACAACCACAACATACTATAATGTTAAATTAATTAGAACAATATGGCACTTGTGTCAAAGAGGCCAATTAAACAATTGAAACAATTCCCTAACATATGAGCATTTGCTTTAAGATAAAGCTATCATTTCAAATATGTGAATAAGGAAGGCGTTTTAAATAAGCAAAATTGATATGATTAGTTATCAATGTATTGATGTTAAAGAAAATTAGACCCCAATTTCATTTTATACATAAAAATGAACTCGAGAAGGAAGGGTTGAAACAATAGACATAAAAGCAGTGTTGAGAAATAAGAAGAGTATTTCCAAAATCTTCAGCTAGAAAAGGTCTTCTATGTGAGATGAACCAGATAGCCAGAAAGCTATAAAAGAAATGCTGTGACATATAAATTAAAAATTTTAATGATGAAATACATTACAAAGTAAAAAAAAAGCACTTATTAAATAGAAAAAAATACTTAAAAAAATGCATGCTACAAAAAATGTTACTATCCAAAAATCCTAAATATGTAAGAAAATAGAACAGCAAAAACACCTCACCCATCTTCTATTAGGTTTTAATATTTTTTTTTCTTAACCAGGTAATTCACAAAAGAAAAAAATACAAATTGCAAATGTGTATATATATAGAAAATATATATATAGAAAAGATGCATAGCCTAATTTAATTAGTCCTATAACAACTTCAAGAAAATTTGTTGTTGCTACCAGAGTTTCAAAAATGTAAAAGATACTTCATGATCATGGTAGGTTTGAGGGAATTGAGCCCTCTTAGACATCATTCATAGAGGGTTAAACTGTGGAAGTCTTTAGAATACAATTTTTAATATTTATTAAAAGTTTTCTACTCTTTGAACCAAATATTCCACTTGCACGTTGCTATAAAAATACATATATGCACAACAAAAGACTGTTCAAGGATACTCACTGCCGTCTTGTTTATTATATTGGAAAATCAGGAACAATGGAATAAACCTCCCTGACTTATTTTTATAAATGAGCCAGAGAACAGAATGCATTACCTTCGAATAAATAAATAAATAAATAAATAAATAAATAAATAAATAAACTGTATGAAAATGTAAAGAAAAAATTGCTGGATTAATAGAGATCAAATAATAATTTTACCTGTGAGGAGGAGTGTTGACAGAGTAGGGAAGGGAAAGAACGTTTTCACATTGTATTTCTCTTCTGTTTAAATGTTGTACAATTAAAATGCATTCATGTGGTATTTATGTTTTGAAAAACAACATTAAAAGGATACCTAGAATATGTTTACTTCATTGCACAAAAATTGCAGTATGGATATTTATAGTTTGGATAACTAACAATTAATCATCAATTCATGCAAGAAACATATATTGGCCAAATCCTGTACCAAAGATTAAGTCAGGCAGTAGTAATACATGAATGAGACAAAGCCAGGTCCTTAAGACCATCCAAGAATCGTCAGGGGCCCGGAAAGGTAAGTGGTTGAGCTGCAAGGTGACAACTGCTATAACAGAGGTCTTCTGGGTGTCACCTTATTCTTACCGGGGACGACAGGAAAGGCTTCAGTTAAGGGAATGCAAGTGAAATAATTTTTTCATGTGACTAGTACTGTTCCTGAGAGACAAGTGAGATAAGGGTGGGAAGAAACTTCATATAATGGGCAATTTTCTACTTGTCTAAGAAGCTAAAGAGAGCATGATGTGTTATAGAAATGAAAAGAACGTTTACACAGATTAGTAGCAAAGCTACATGAAACATGTACTAGAATTCAGTGAAATATGAATAACTTAACCAAGTAAGTGCAGGGCACTTGCCTGAATATCTCATTTGTATTTCTTTACCTGCATCCTAATAGGAAAGTTATTTTATTATCAATAAGAGAAAGTTTAACATGTATTTCAATAAAATTTGCTATTTTCCTGGTTAATTTGTATAAAAAATAATGAAATTGTTTACTTCAAACATTTAAGGCTTCCACAGTTAGCATTAAAAGCAGTGTTCTGTCTTAGTCAACAAAAATTTAATTTTTGAAAAAAAATAATTCATCCAACTAAATTAAATTAAATATTTCATTTAAAAATAACTTCCATCATTTAGTGCATATATGAGTCAAAAGATCTCTTCTTTTCCGTCTCCATCTGTCCTATGTCTTTAGGATATCACTACTTATTTGTTTTCCTACCATCAGTTCAGATCCACAAAGATTCATCTGAACTACTCTTTTAAGTTCCCTCCGTCTTTCTATATGGCCTGGCTCTTTTTTAAAATAAAAAATATTACTGCTGAGAGATAGATATAGATACATAGATATAGGTATATATAGATAATATAGATATAGATATATAGATAGATGCAGATATAGATTAGATGAGAAAGAAATAGAGATAGAAACAGAGACAGATAGAGATAGAGATGATAGAGATAGTGATAGTGATAGCGATAGACAGAGATAGAGATAGAGATGATAGAGATAGCAATAGAGATAGAGATAGAGATAGAGATAGAGATAGAGATATACAGATGATATACATACAAAAGCACGGGCTCTACAGTCAGACCACATGGGCCAAAACCTAGCCCCATCAATTACTGGCTGTGTGACTCTTTAGGCAAGTAATTTGACCTCTCTGAGTCTCAGTTTTCTTACCTATAAAATGAGAATAAAAATAGTAGATATCTACTTATCTCATAAAATTGTTGTGAGAACTGAACAAATTCCTATATGTAAAACAGAACAGTATCTAGACCAGTGGTTCTCAACCTTGGCTGTACATTAGAATCACCTGGGAATCTTTTTTAAATCCTAATTTCTGGGCCTCCAGGGGATGAAGTGATTCCAATGTGCAGCCAAGGTTGAGAACCACTGGCCTAGAACCTTATAAGTGCTTAATAATTATTAGCTCTCTTTTAAATTCCAATCTCTCTCTCTCTCTCTCTCTCTCTCTCTCTCTCTCTCTCTCTCTCTCTCTCTCCTGCCTCTTTCAATGCAATGTTACATTAAATACATTCTCTTTCTGGCTTAATGAAATAACTAAACTTCTATATCAAAATAATCTTCACATCATACCTTATATTTTCTTCAAAGTCTTCATATCTTACTATAGAGCAAAAGCTGCATCTTAATCATTATCTCCACATATCACTGTATCAGTAGGCTTTATTCACCTCTATTCTAAATTTTCCCCTAATTAGATGGTGCTGTGGTAGGGAACAGCCCTCATTTGCCCCGTTCTCATTAGATAACTACATTCACCTGGTACGGATTCATTAGCGATTTCCTTGCTGATAGAATGTCCTTAGATTTGCCGTTGAGTGAGTAGGCAATTTTGTGCTTAAAACTCCACATGCCTGGTCAGAATGAGGCACTGATACAGCATCATTCATCAGGTAAGAGAACGTATTAGTAATAGTTCTTGGCTTCCTTTGTGATAATAGAAAGGCAAGGAATTTTATTTTGTTTTTATTTTATTTTATTTGAGACCATCTATAATTTCTTCTTTGCCATTTTTATGTGTTCTTTCTTCTACATTATTTCTTTTTATAAAAATCAACCTCTATAACCTGACCCTAACCTTTGCCTGCTGTTACAGTAATTATTAAGCCTTTAATATATAATCCCATTAGTTTTAATGATTAGAATGCTATAGGTGGTATAATTATTAGTGCATGAAAGAGAACTGACATTTGATTGTATACACAAATTGTAAAAACAGTTTCAGATCCTATGTATGAAACAATGCTTATTAGTAGAACAAGTTATATGTTTGTATCAGCACAGACATATTTAACTGGTTTTACACAATTATCATAGTAAAAGGTGGTAAAATGTGAAAACAGGTGACAAAAATTACCAATGACCTAACTATTTCCTGGCACCTGGCTTTGAAGGTCAACTGAGGCATTCCCACCTCTTGGTTAGATATGCCCCCAAGATAAGGCTCTGCCTTCATCATGGGTTCAGTTGACATGAATTTAAAAGAAAGCCAGGGCCTTCCCTGGCAGGGGGCCTTCCACAATAAAAGTAACACAAATATTTCTACAACTTGCATAATCGACTTCTGCTACAAGAGTGATACACTTTTTGTCCAGAACAGCTTTACTCTGAGGAATATTTATTCCTATCTTTCAGCATAAGTTCTTCATAATGAATTAAGTTCAGAGAACATTATAAAAAGATATACCAGTATATTTCAAGAAAATAAATGCCGAAGCTTGAAGGCATTTTCCATCAAAACTCAAATATGGCATAATGGTTATTTTGTAGAGTTCATTAATAAAATTGGAAGGATATTATTAACCTCCAGAGGGTTACATTGAACTTACAGAGAAAATTGATCAAGTTCCTTCTGACCCAGAAATACCCTTTGGATGCTATTGATCAAGAGTTTGGGACACTATTATAATTCATCTCCAAACACCAATGTGAGTAAGAAATTGTTTCTAAAAGATTTATTATTCAAAACATTCATACTATTTAGCTCCTAGAGGAAGTCTTAAGGGCATGAGTTTTATCGTGGAGATCCACAGGAAAACATACCTGGCTAAGCTGAAGGCATCGTCGATCAAGCCTGCTCGATTACTGACGGAGAGAATCTGTGAGGTCAACCAGAAAAAAGTGGAATCACTCAGGATTAAAATGTCAGGTTCACATATTAGAACAAATCATTGATGAGTAAACCCAGTTTACCTCATGGTTCCTGATTAATTGATCAATTAATAATCTCCAATTCCTTAAATCATAGTTGACTCTAAAATAGCCAGTTTGATTGATGTTTCCAAGCAACCAGCTTCCTTTGTCCAAAGAAGTTAGTCTGTGGTGCTCTGAAAATAGCATTTTGGGGATAAAATAGATTTCAAATTTTCAGGATTAAAATGGTATGAAATATGCAGAGTATGAATAATTTAAAAAGAATACCATCCCAAATACCTAATTAAAATCTCTTTAATCAATTAATCGCTATAGCTAGAATTTGCTAGAAAATCTTTAATTGTTTACTCATTACCTCAATTAATTTTTTCTTATAATTAACATTTTTGTTCTTTATAAAACCCCATTACCTGCACGTATATTTTTTCTCAAAAGAAATGTAACCAAGAAATATACTACTATATTTGTGTGGCTTCTAGTTAGTTTGTATATGGATATGTGGCTAGAATAAAATGAAAGGTTTTAGGTGCATATCCTACTTAATTTATTCAGTGGAAAATGGATTACCAATAGAGCTCATTTATTTGAAAGTCACTGTTGTTTTCTGACATTTTTCTTGTTCTTTCTTGAAAGTATTAATAAATAACAGACTTCCTAGCATCATCAATAATGCTGGAAAAGGGAACTTCATTTGTTTAAGACACTAATATTACTACATATAATTAGAACAAAGATAGAAATTCTTCTTATTTAAATCACTTTGGGAAATGATAACTTGATTATGGTCTCCAGTAATTCAATTAAAGCAAACCAGTAAACCAGTCTTATAACTGACACATTTAACTCCATCAAATACAGAGGGAGAACTACATTCACATTTAATGTCAGCCTTTACTGACTTCACTGAACCTTACTATCATTTTGATGTTGATTTTCTCAGCACTCATGCTTCTCAGAAATTAAATAAAGTACAAAGTTTACTTAAAATTTATACACATATGTGTGCACACACACACACACACACACACATACACACACACACACCCCACTGGTCTAATTTCCACAATTACTCAAAACCAGAAAATGCATTATAGAAACGATATATTTGTGTCCAGTCTGAGTAAGAAGCACAACCCCCAATACTCACTCTATCATCAAGGTTTTCACGCATTGGACTACAAAACAGGTGTGTTAAAAAAAAAAAAAAAACACTGAATTTACAGAATACTCTCTTTCAAGTAGAACCCCACAAAAGAAGAGGTTATACCACGAAAGTTATTGAGTGAACATCAATGATCATTAATTGTTTAGGTCTGGATTGGAATGGGCTAATTAATCTAATGCATGTTATACATTACCAATTTTCAAAAATTTACAGTAAAACAAAATAATTCTTAAACATAAATGTATACTGAACATAAAAATCTAGTCTTCAGTGCTTTGAGTAGCACTTCAAATTCTTGCCATCTTTATTAACAGTATCTATTGACACAGATAAAGAAATGAGGCTCAGACAGGTTAACTGACTTGTCCAAGAAAGCTGGGAATGGTCCACTTCAGGTCTCTTGACTTTGGTGTCCTTTCTACTGCACTATACTCTATTGATACAAGATGATATAACACTTTCATTGTAATCTGATATACATTTTTTACATTTTTATATTAATTCTAAAGAGATGATAGCACTAAAACAAGAATTAGAACAGGAACAGAAAGTTGACTTCTAGTTCGAGTTTTCCTATATATGAATGTTTGGACTTCAGCCATTGGTTCTCCTTGGTTCACAGTTTCCTTACCTATCACCTAAGGGCCATATGATGGCATTTATGGTCTCTTCAGTTCTCTGAATAGAAGGAGAGATTTTTCTTAGTTTGAGATTTTACCCAGCTTAATCCATGGTGGTTAGGAAAATAAGTCTATCAGCTATTACTCTAAAATATTAATAACCTCCCAAGTTTCAGATACTTTGCATATTTTTCAAAGATGTAATGTGTTTATCTACACAATTTCTGTGACTTTAGAATGTTATTCACTTTACAGATTTAAAAATAAAACAAATAATTTAAAAAAATATTCATTTTTAAAAACTAAAATAATCTCATAATGACATTTTAATTAATCATGTCTGATTCACCAAAGAAAAATTAAGATATAAATGTTGAATATAATATTATTAAATTCTTAACTTTAGGTTCTTAACTAAAACCTGAAGGTTATTGCCATGCATTGATATGTTTATGCATACCTTTGTTATAAATAAAATCTTTGGAAAAATTATTTCCTAAAAGATTTTGTAATATATTGTTTAAATATCCTTTCTATTCTAGTTAATTATATGTCTAAAATGTTCCTCAAATTAATAACAAGCAATGAATTTTAAAGAGATCTTTTCCAGTGACCTAATGAGGTACAGTGGTGATGAGCACCATAATAAAGAGCATGGGAGTTATATTTTAAGTGTTAGTAATTTAATTACAATTAAAAATGGCATTTAGAAAAATGGCTCAAGACTTAAACTAGGCACAAAGTAGTTGGACATTTATATTTTATGTTTCTGTATTTTATACTTTCTTTTGGAATAACAAGAGAAAGGAGATTAGGCCTTTCTACTTATCATTGTCCGGTGACTTAAGCGAAAAGTCAACCAGGTAACAATGTGCAACAAACGCAGGTATAATAACACATACTGGTTCTCTCACTGGAATCTTAGGAGAATCAAATTAGGTAATGCTCTATGGAAGCAATAAAGAACCATATTGAGTAACTGACAGATCTGTAAAGCAAGCTGCTAAAGTATTAAAAACTCTCTCTTTTCCTCTCTCTCAGTGTGTGTATGTGTGTGTGTTAGACTAAATAAACTTAGAAAAGAAAACCAAACTCCCAAGGCACTTTGGGCAAGTTATTTCTTAAGCCTTAATTCTCTAATTTGAAAAATGGGCATAAAAATAATATTCAATTTAAAGGCTTATGAGTTTCATATGAACCAATGCTTAAGGAAAGCACTACAGCATCATGCTATTTTTAATTTATAGCCAGTCAGCATGAAAGCTACTACATTTTAAATATATACTTCCTCAGTATTGTCATAGTAAAAACAAAAGAGATGAATCCTTTACCTATTTTCAATTACTTATAAATTGGTTTAAAAACTTTTTTAGGCTAACTTGGAATTAATTAGATATTCATCCAAACAATATAAAAATTGAAGTGTCAAGAGTTTATGATTATTTATATTAAAGGTATACGATATATTATTTACCATGACCTTGCTTTAGTATCTTGTGAATTAAATCTATATTACTGATAATAAAAGTTATAAAAACAACCCTAGCTGGTTTGGTTCAGGGGATGGAGCGTCAGCCTGTGGACTGAAGGGTCCCAGGTTCAATTCTGGTCAATTGCACATGCCCAGGTTGTGAGCTTGATCTCCAGTTGAGGAGGAGGCAGCCAATCAATGATTCTCTCTCATCATGGATGTTTCTATCTCTCTCCCTTCCTCTCTGAAATCAATAAAAATATATTTTAAAAAATTATAAAAACATTAATTTTTTATAATTAAAAAGTGATCTTTAATCTATGTTGATCGGAATTGACCTGAATATTTTCTTAATATTTTAATAGATAAACATCTTTCATTGACATTAGTTGACTATATGTGGTGGGGGGGCATACAAGGTGGGGCAAAAGTAGGTCTACAGTTGTTCATATGGAAAACAATATAATAATTAATAAATAAGAATGCAAGAATAAACTCTGTTTCATGTACTCACAATTGTAAACCTACTTTTTCCTGACCCTGTATAAAAGACAAGAATTTACAAACTGTTTTGCTAATCTTTTCCTAATGTCAGGGTTTTTTTTTCCATTATCAATATGAAGACCTTCAAGACAAAAGTAAACACAGAATAAGACTGAACGGGGAAAATAGAAAGGCTGCCTTTCTTTTAGCTCCCTCTTAGAAATGCCAAGATTTATATTTTATGAAGTTTCTAAGAAAGAATTACTAGGTATGAGCATTCTCCCACAAATTCCTCAACATGTTAACTGAGACAATGATCTGTCAACCGGATGACTCTGCTATGTTTAATGGAAAATAACACATTATATTCTGCAGGTTGAACACTGCACAATTTCGGGGTTAGCAAGTGTGCCATTAATATCATTGCCTATGTAAATTTCATTTCCCAGAGTTATACACGGCTCAAACTAGGTGGCTATATATCTCAACCATGTGTATTAACATAGATGACATTTTAGACAAACATATGGTTTCAAGTATGTTGTTATTCTAGATTAATACTGAAAGACTTTAAATGAAAGCAACCTCTCAAATACAACAAACTGTGGCTATTGGTCAGGAAAAGTTGTGACACTATTCTGGATGCTTTGTATGGAATAAGAAGATATCATGAATAACAGCATGGAAATAACTAGAGGGTTAAGGAAACAGACCTGGGAGAAGTCTCCAAAAAGAATCTGACTTGCTCTGAATCCCTGCACTCTCTAAAAGTAAAGTTTGGGGCTGAGTCTGATGTTTGATCAATATCTTTGCACTCCTCTAATTTTCCCATTTTCATTCTACCTCCCAATGAGAAATGTGTTCCTTTATTTCTAAAAACTATTCTTTCTCATGTTCCTAGCAATCATATAAGCAGATGACTTTATTCTAATAGTTGGATCATTACACTAACAACCTACTGTTTTCACTCATCATTTCATAACAAATTATGTGGATAAATAAAACATGGAGGGAAAAGAGAAGTATATAGACAAATAGTACAGCAAATGTGAATTCAGAATCATTATATAAATACTAACTCCAAGAATGAAAAGAATAGATTATAATAAACAATTCAAAATGAGAAACACCATTAAGTTTTACAGTAAGCATTTCAACACATCACATATTAATGTTTTATACACTATATATATAAATGAAAGCACATATTTTCATAATATGTGATTATGTGATAATACAATAACATGAAAATTTGAATACAAATTCAACTAGAAATACAAGTGTTTACATTTCTAGTAAATGGATTAGATTCTGCTGTAAGAACATTTTCTTGTATGTGTATATGTATTTTGAGCACTTATGTTTCCCTTAAAAGACTGAAGTGAATAAATAATAGTCATGTTGTTATTTATTTCGTTTTACCTCATCATATTTAAATATATATGGCTGCTTAAAATTATGCCCCTGAAAGAGCAAAATAATATCAATAGGCAGAACATTTGACAGGAGTAAGAAAAGCAAAATGTTGACATACTTGACCATCTAAATCTAAATTAAACATTACATAAAGGGTGATAATTGGCTTTTTCTTTAATTAATGGAAAACAAATAAAAGAGACCTGTTTCTCACTCTAACATAAAAGATTTAGATTGACTTCAAGAAATAGCTTTCTGACAGTGCATTGAAATAGCTCACTATCTTGTCTGAAGATATTTAGAAACAATAGAATCTCATCTTTCTCTGCTCCCTGAGAGTTGACCCCACCTAGGGAATAGTTTAATGACCAATCAAGATCCCTTTCTACTGGCCCTATAATTGCTGAATTTTATGGAAAATATTTCCTCACCCATTCTTTAAAGAGCTAGTCTTGTAAAGAGAAGATAGCAGGAAAATGGAATTAAAAATATGCCCTGTATTTTTAGTATTAGGTATACTGTTCTATTGGGAGTTCTGAATATCATTATAATTATAAAGTGATACAATTTGAAATAGCTAAAATTAGTACTATAAATACTTTTAAATTTTCTATTTACCATCAAAGACACAAATAAATTTAATAATTACATAGGCCAACTAAAATTAGTCTGTGTAAAAATTACACTATATTATACTTAATTTTGTAGATGTGATAATCATTTCCCTATATTCTACTCTAATCTGTTTTTGTTCATATTTTTATAATAGCTAAACCCAGAGGTTAAGTTGTGAAACTTAAGTCAAATAGTTCTAAAACCAAATAGTTTCTTGGAAAGAATATATATTTTACCTGATTTGTTAGATACCCAAATAATTGCTTCTGGAGACATATGGCTTCTATTTCCTACCACAATAGTTAATGGAATCTGCCACAGGTAACTGCAAAATAAAAGAGAAGCTTTAAGAATAAAAATGGCTATAACAAATAAACAACATATACTTGGCACCTTCTTTGTGATCTGCAGTATTCACTTTAGAGGAACTAAAAACAAATTCCCCAGTTATAAAAGTAAGGAGTGAGTCAAGAAGATGAATTCACTTTTTCAAAGCCACTAAGCAGACTTGGCCTCTAAGAGTTTTAATTTCAAGTCAAAAGGGGGACTTCCAACAAAACAATTTATCTTGAAAAAAAAAAAACACAAAAAAACCCCACACAACAGATTTGCATTTTGCATTAGGAATAAAAAAAATAGACAAAACCTATAAATCTGAGCCACAGCATATATTGATTACAGTTTAACACCTTTATACTTGTTCCATATTAGACTAATAGACATTTCAGTGGTTTATTCATTTACATTTCAACATTCTCATTTATTTGTTTAGCTATTCTAAAAGATACTGTTACCATTTTTTTTACAGAAAGTTTAAAATATCACACCCAAAGCACAGAAACTGAAAAGCAAAACTAATCAGATCCTTCTAAAATCTTGACCAATAAAAAGAATACCGTGGGACACATTAATGCTCTGTTTTCTGAAATGAAATTTCCAAATTGATGTGTAGAATCATCCACCAACAGACAGAGATAAGTCATGAGTCTCAGCTACAAAAGAGAAGCACTTTCTAGAATTTGATTTTTTATAGGATAAAAATTGAGGCCTATACTTGTACATGAAGTAATATTCAATTAATCTCAGAAGAGTAGCCATAGACATGCTAGATGGTTTTTCAATCAGCTCAATTACTACATATTGTTTCTTTCTCTATAATATAACCATATCATTCTGACCTATCATTGCACCATTAGCAACAGGGGTAGTAACAATATCCAGCATGGAAAAACATTATTTATTTTATCTTTGATTCTATTAAATTTATTTGGGTGACATTGGTTAATAGAATAATATAGGTTTCAAGGGTACAATTCTATGATACATTATAGGTGTATTGCATTGTGTGCCTGCAACTCAAACTCAAATCTTCTTCTGTCACCACATATTTGAACCCCTTTGCCCTTTATTGCCCGCACTCCCTCCCCTCTGGTAACCACCATACTGTGGTGGTTTTCGTTTGTTTCAATGAGTGTTTGTTTGTTTCAATGAGTGTTTGTTTGTTTTTTCTTGTTTGTTCATTTGTTGCTTTCAGTTTTGTACTCCACGTATGAGTGAAATCATATGGTTCTTGACTTTTCTGTCTGATTTATTTCACTATATTTTATTTTTAAAATGTAAAAAGAGATACTGTGTGAGCTGCATAAGTGTGAGAGAACTGAGAATTTTTCAGGGACATGTCTGGGGTTAGATAACTAAAAACATAATGAACATGTGGGTTTTTCTTGGGGGCGGAGGGTGAGAGGGCAGGGGACCTCCTTAAAACCTGTCATGTGGAATTTGATTATTTTATCTTTTCATGTTTGTCATTCACAATGAGCAGAACTCAGTAGTAGAAAAAAATTACAAATGGAAGATTAAAAGAAGTTCATAATTTTATACCAACTGCTATCTCCAATATGGAAAGTCAAAATAGTATGTTAAAGATTCTAAATTTTAAAATTACATGCTATGCTATCCTTAATCAGAGAAACATTTTTTTAAGTGTCAACTATGTGGAAACCTAATGCTACACTGTACAAGGTTCCATAAAATTGGTTAGGAAATAAACAATCTACAGTAGCCAAACATGTCTTGATATTTTTAGGTAGACATGAATAAACACAAATTATGTAAGCTTTTTAACAAAAAACTCCAAGCTCCCAACATAATTTTAAGAATATGCCACATGCCCTATCCAGTTTGCTTAGTGGATAGAGCTTCAGCCTGCAGATTGAAGGGTCCCAGGTTTGATTCCAGGCAAGGGCACATGCCTGGGTTTAGGGCAAGATCCCCAATGTGGGGCATGCAGGAGGCAGCCAATCAATGATTCTCCATCTCTCATCAATGATGTTTCTACCTCGCTCTCCCTCTCCCTTTCTCTCTGAAATCAATAAAAAAAGAATATGCCACAAATATTTAATGATGGATTTACAATAAAGAAAACACAGAGAGTTGATATGTTTATTTAATATTTATTTAGTAGCCATTCTCTTTTTAATTACTTGGAATAATTAGTTAAGAAACAATGTCTGACTGTGGATCTGATTGTAAATTTAAACTATGCATACATTTTCATACCTGAGATCTTGCAAAAAGCCTGAATATGAAAAGCACTCTATAAATTGCTCTGGAATTAGGTTGACATAAAATAAAAGGGGCCAAATAAGTCTATAGATAAGACAGAGATTAACTTTATGCACTTGACTTTTTAGTTCATATTTCCCATATTCAGATGGGTCAACTAAATTGTGAACTCAAGTGTCAGTTAAAGGGCAAGAAATATATAAGGAAAAAGGAGAGAAATAGTTAAAATTAAAGATCTTAAAAATCCTCAAGGATCAACATGTCTTTTTTATATGATGTTATAACATATTTGTGAAACATTATTAGCCCCTATTATAAACAAATTCATAATTTGCATGTATTTAAACTGTATTCTTCTAAATAACAAAACTAGAAATTATTATAGAAATTGGTATATTTGAGCCTTGGCTTGTGTGGCTCAGTTGATTGGAGCATCATACCATGCACTGGAAGGTTGTAGATTTGATTCCCAATCAGGGCACATGCCTAGGCTGTGGGCTTGATCCCCAGTCAGTTGCATGGAGAGGCAACCAATCAATGTTTCTCTTTCGCCTCAATGTTTTCTCTTTCTCTTTCTCTCTCTCTCTCTCTCTCTCTCTCTCTCTCTCTCTCTCTCTCTTTCTCTCTCTCTCTCTCCCTCCCTCCCTCCTTCCCTCTCCCTCTCTCTAAAAAATAAATAAAAACATCATATTTTTAAAATATTGGTATATTTGAGCTTTAGCAAAAATCTCTAAAGTATAGGAAAAAGAAATTCATATTAATACTTTCATGTTGCTATAATAAATTCCTCATACATATAGGAAACTTTCTAAGTGGTAGCCAGACATTGCATTGCATAACTGTTCAGATGCAAGAAAGTTAACTCTAAGGTATTGGGATACAAGTGTGTATACACACACATACACAACCAAAATCTATACTTTTGTCACAAAGACAAAATAAAATTTACAAATTACTAAGCATATCTGAAATTTGTATTCATTTCTGAATTGCTGTGCTATCAAATACCAAATGTTATTTTTCATAACTTTCCAAACAACAAGTATTTAGTCTTTTTACAAATTTCATGGTAAATTATGTTATTTTATGATTACAACTTAAAAATCTGGAAGACACGGAACACTGTTGAGTGAAGAGCTCTATGTAGTATGCTGTAAAGAAATCTAAGACAATGTAAAGTATATATGTTACACTAAGCTGTATACCTGAAACCAACACAAAATATTGAAAGTAAACATTGATAGAAAAATAAAATAATGAGACAATCTCAAAAAATAAAAGAAATCTAAGACTGCAGTGGTTTATGTATAGAAAGAGACAAGAAAAAAGTACTTGTGAAGTTACATTGGGGCCCAGATGTTTAAGTTTAACTTAAATTTTAGTCATCTGATTTTATGTAGGGAAAAAAACATGCAAAAATACTAGAAAATTTTATTTCAAAAGACTTCCAAGATTTTTTTTTTCTTTAATAGTCCCTGGGACTATCTCTCTTCATCAGTAATTCACATTTTTTTATAATAAAGCAATGATTATTCTGATGATTAGGTTAAGGTAGAAAAGAATATGTACATATTTAGCTTAAGTGAGAAATATTTTCAAAATTGGTGACAAAAGAAGATTTGACTTTGGGTGGTGGGCACATGGTGCAATATATAGACCTTGTAACATAGAAACCCACACCTGAAACCTATATGTTCATGTTGACCAGTACCACCCCAATCAATTTAATAAATAAGTATTAAATAGTAAAGAATGGTACTGATATTAGTGAAGTGTTAGTGTATATGCCAAAAAGCTATACAAAAGTCATACAAATTCACAACTTCACAAATACCAAAATTTCAGCAAATGTTTTACTCACTTTACGTATCAACTAACTTTGTGCAATCATTAGTTATGTAAAGATCTTTCTGTGCTGTACTATAGCTACTCCATATAAAATTATAATTACTATATACATTAAAACTGTCCTAGGCATGTTGCAGATATTCTAGTGTCTTCTGTAAAATTCAAGATACAGAATTGATTATACTGGCTCAGAAAATATCCACAAATCACAGGATTTAAGGCAGAGAGAAACACTATGTGTTATTATATCAACTTTTTGCATTGAATAGTAAAGATCTAGAAAGGCTATATGGAAAGGGCAGATAAAATTGGTATTAGTTTCAACCATGATGTTATAGTGAATTAAATTATCTATAATATAAAATTGAATTCTAAATTTTAACTGCAAGCCCTATTATTTCAAAATAGAAAATAATTTTTTTAGATTAATAGGATGCCACGCATTACCTTACTCTAAATATTTTATATGCCAAGTTCTTAGGGTTCACAATCATCTATCTGTATGACTTTATAACTCAAGCACAAGCAGAGATCTATAGATGTCCCATATAGTTCTATAGCCTGGGAGAAATTTTTCCTTTAAAGAGTCAGACTCGTGGCTGATACATCTGATGCATGTTATATAGGTTGACAGAGTATTTTTGTTCAAAATGTGTCCTGTCATCTGCGTGTCCTTTATGTTTTTCTGCACCAGTGACGCTTGTATCAGACTGATCGTTCTCAAAGGCATAGCTGAGTCTCTCTAACGTTGTCACAGTCAAGTAGTTTTTATGCACTTCTGGCAGGCCCAGGCTTTATGCCTAAGCAGGTTTACCCGGGAGCCAGATGGGGGATGATCAGAACCAGTACATGTTCGCCATGAGGAATCCAGGCTGGATGAAGAATTGACAGAGTCAGACCCTGACAGTGTGACAGGTAATACATATTCCGCAGTCTAGATGGACTGCAAGGCCATTTGTTGGAGGCCAATATACATATTAGGTAGGAGATTTAAGACAATGTTTTTCTAGATGGGATTCCAAATTTAGTCGCTAGAAGAAGCATTGATAAATTTCTCAATCACTTCTGCTGCAGCCCATCTTGGAGCTAGGCGACTTGAGAATGATTTCTGTTCTTCTTAGCGATAACCAAGGAGACTTAACCCACACTTCATGTCTCCTAGATTTGAGTGGGTGATAAAGCCAGACTCTTAATATTCCAAGGTAATAGAAGACAGCATGACCAACCTCATCCAGACACCTCATTTTATTAATTAATTTTTTACCTCCATCCCTCCCTGTCCCTCCAACCTCTTTTCAGGGCACCTAATAAAAAAATGAAATTGAGTGTAAAGGTCTACCATCTTTCCTGGGCTCACCCTTAATAAGACACAAAACACTGAGAAAACGTGAGGGAAAAAAAACCACTTGGTGCTGAATCATCAGTAATTAAAGGAGAATTACAAAAGAAAGTTTAAGTATCAAGAATCAAATTTTGAATGGGGGATAATGTCAACACTAAAATAATTTTTAATAAAAAAATTCTATGTATGTTGTCTTTTTAGTGGTTTGAAACACTAAAAATGAAGGAAAAGAACGTATTTTGATACCAAGTTGCATTGATACTTAGACCATTTAGAAGTGAATCAAGTTTGAGTTTCTTTAGGTCAGACATTATTTAGTCTAGTGGGTTTTGTTTTATTTTGTTTTTTCTTATTTATTTTAATTACTTTTTTCTGGATTGTTAGTTTCTGTTTTCATCTATTTTATTAATCACAGTTTGCTCACTTCCATTTAATTCACTTCAATGCATCTTTTTGAATTTAATTCAAAACATTTCCAGGGAAAAGTAAATAATCACACATTTTTAAAAATCATCATGATAATTTAAATTTTGTCTTCCTAAACAAAATAATTTTGGTGAGCTATCATCTTGATACTTAAAATATCTGTAAAGGGAAGTAAAATCAGAAGCAAAATGAAAATACCATATGTAAATAAAGAAATCAAAATATATTTTGCTTATAACGTTTCAGAATACTGTTACCAATGCTTTTTAAAATATGAAAAATGCAAAGTGAAACTTAATAATAAAGAATTTGTTTCATGAAAAAGAAGTATTGTACCTGTTATTTTGAAGTGCAAGTGCTCTAGTTTTAGCACTGATGTCATAAATAAAATGTTGTTGGGTAATTATTATCCAATTTTCTGCTGTGGTATTTCCCAAGATGGTGATAACAGGATAACCCATCTGGAGTGTCCACTGGTCCATTACTTCTTGTATATTTACATATTTCCCATTCCTTTTTAAAGCCTTTATAACCAAATTGGTATAAATTAGTTTTATAAACATGAATCATAATTATCATTCAACCATTTTCATTTTTACCTTTATGATTTACCTAAATATGAAAACATTTAAAATCAGTGAAGCTAGTATAATGTTAGTAAAATTAATCTTCTTGCCTTAACTTACCTTCATGAATATATATACATATATATATGCCATATATATGTATATATTTATAAACATATATATACCATATATATATATACGTATATATATATATATATATATACACACACACATATATATATATATATGTATATATATGTTTTACTTAATGGAAAATAAAACATTTTATTGGCAAAGGAAGTACTGGCATGATCATTAAGGATCTCCAGTATGTCCAGTATCAAATTTAAATATCTCTTATTCATTCACATATAAAAAAAACAATTTCTTTATAATGTCAATATTTCTCTCTAACACCATATTAAAATTATATTTCAAAAGTATTGACATATTTGAAAGTAGGCAAGACATCTTTTACTATCATTTATAGTTTAAGTAATTTTAAATACTATCCTCTTTAAATATATATATATATATATATATATATATATATATATATACACACACACAACATATCAAAATTAAACAAAAAAGCAACATGAGGATAAGAGAAGTATAAAAACAAAAAACAAATGGTCAGTGACTGTTTTATAAACTCCATTCAAGTATTCAAGAAGAGGTATTGGTATCCGAGCTTCCTATACGTTACCTCTGAAAGTGTGTTCCAGAGATCATTTCTGGCTGCATTGCCATACTTATGAATGGTTAAATAATCCTACAAAGAATGCAAAAATGTAATTACAATTCAAAGGCTAAGCAATTTTCAGTAAACACATTCATTTCTCAATTCAATTAATCATTTCCATTTGTTAGGATTGCATTAACAAGAAAGACATGCAGAAAGATGAAGAATTCCATTTTTAAATATTCCAAAAAATATTTAACTACAGTGTACTTCTTAATTAAGTCATTAAATAATATCTTATAATTTATTAATCTCTTAAAATTATTTTCATAGGCCTGATCTCTCTTTATGAATTTCCAGGTTCAAAGATCTTCCTCCTATTTAGCAAGTCAACTATTTTATTAGGTAAAACTTTCTTATAAGGCTTTCATGTTCAAGTGCTAAAAAAAAATGTTTTTGTTTTACGTAATAAAAAATAAAAAAGAGCCCATTCAGTGTGGCTCAGTGGTTGAGCGTCCACCTATGAACCAGGAGGTCATGATTCAATGAGTCAATTCTCTGTCAGGGCACATGCCTGGGTTGTGGGCTTGATTCCCAGTAGAGGGCATGTAAGAGGCAGCTAATCCATGATTCTCATCATTGATGTTTCTAGCTCTCTCTCTTTCCCACTTCCTGTCTGAAATCAATAAAAATATATTTAAAATAAAATAAAATAGAACCTGGTTGATACATGCAGACGTGAAGAGGAACTGCTTTGTGAAAAGAGGGATGATTATCTTCACAACCTGTCACGTTCCCTAGTCTTTCTGCAAAGAGCAGGCTGCCTAATACAAAATGATACATACTTATTTCCATGCGTCTGAAACATATACTAACATTTAACAGGAAAAAGTCAATCCTACATTTATTTAATATTCTGGGGCTTGGATTTCCCATTTCCCATTTTCAATCATGTGAAGTTAAACCTACACACTTTCCATCTGATTCATGTCTGCTCTCTTCTGTGAAGCATGGTTTATGTCACTGTGAATGCGCTATTTAGTTATGGCTCCTTGGCATTATGTTTTTTCTGAATCCAAAGTAGGAAACAGTGTTTTATTTTATAAAACAGAGAGTCCCTTCCTTCATTTGAAATTCCATCATCTCTTCTACATGTAGGTGGTAGACAAAATCCTAATTTACATCACAGTACTGAAATTTAAAAAAAAAATGCTGACTCCTTACAGTACTTTATTTAGAGTGGAAGACTTTGGGGATAATTAAAGTTGAGAAAGCAAATTTTCTGAAATACAAATTATAGCACCTGTGACAGATTCAGCTTTGTTGGAAACTCACAGCCCAGCAAACGGCCACTCCCACCTAATCAGACTCCTAGCGATGCAATGCCCAACACTAGCTTCCAACCACAAATACATCATCTTCAGGCACTGTGAATAACTTTGTTGCAAAAACACATCTCTGAATACCCAATCTGAATCTCAATATTGACTTTGAATGTGCCATAGAAGGCATTTTCAATTTGAACCCAGGGGCCTGGATTAAAATAAATCATTTCAGACTTCATTGTCAGAATTATCTTTTATGCTTTTGCAGCACTTACATGAATACATTTGAGAACATTGGGAATTATGAAACATAAATTTGAATTTTATTTTAGTGATGCTATAATAAAAAGTATTAAAATTGGAACTATGATTGGTTTCAGTTTATGAACAGTGCTACTAGGATAAACCAAAATAGGGGACAACGGAATACTACATGGACCTTGAGAGGTCCAATACATAGCTACACGATTCTCTTCTATGACAGATCCTAATAACACGACTGTTCATGATATGAGTTGATCTTGACCCAATATTGATCATCAAGTGGATCTCTTAGTTCCCTCGCCAATCCAGAATGAAGTGCAAATTCTCATTGCAAGCTGAAATGGCAACTCCCTGGGCGCAGGGAACAACTCCCACTTGCCCAGCTCAATATTCAGGGCAACAGCATGTCTTCTTGGACTCGCAGCAGTCCCACTGTTTGGTGTTATTGGAACTCTACCTAGGTCAACTATTTTTGTTTCTCCCCCAAAAGCCCCCAATGCTTTCATTAGTTATTTTAGCCTTCCTCTTGCTAAAATAACTAATGAAAAAGAGTCATATTTTAAATTAAGGAAATTTTGCTTTGTCTTTGTAGAATTACAAAATAACTTAAAGAATCGTGAACATGGCCTTTTGATAATCAATCATTTATGTATTTATTCATGACTCAAAATGTATGGCGCATGGAGCTCTCTGGGTGCTGGGGAAATAGTGGTGGAGAAAAGGTTATGGAGAACAACTGCAAATACTGGGATGTGATTTGAGAAGGAAGGTTTCTGTGACCGGAACTTCAGAAGTCTTGGTAAAATAACCACTTGACAAGTTGAAATCGAACATTTGGTATATGATTAAATAAGACTTCAAGTTCCTTTCAAATCTACAATGAATATGGAAGTAGCTGGAGTTAGGAATCTAAAATAGAAATTTGTTTATATTATATGTATGAAAGTCAATCAACATTTTGGAGAGTTGACATTTTGATACAAAGTAGAATGTTTTAATATTAACTGTAAAAAAAATGTGGGTTTGCTGCACAAAATATTTAACAAACAACAGAATTGTTGAAAAGAATAAAACAAAGACGATCCCTAAGATATTCTTAAGGGGCATAATCAATGCCCCTTAAAAGTGAAAAGCATATTAAGCAACAGTATATTCTCATACATAAAGGGCAGGCTACTGCAATGCTGAGCCACATTCAGACCTGACCTGGGGCAGAGGAAAGATGGAATTTCTTCCTGGGAATCTCTTTTTAAGAATTAAGAAACTTCCCCTTGAATGCTACATCAAACTTTCCATGTTTCCCGTGTTTCAGAACGGCATCATGTGCTCTAACAGAAATCTGTTCATGAAGTATTAGGAAGACCTGTGTTGGGTCAACAGAAGGCAGGAGACCCAGTCCTGTGAAGTATGTGGTTGTATAATAGAGGGTGAGAACCTGAACAAAATCAGAAAGAAGAGGAGACTAGCTTATGGGTAAACCACCTACACTTTTCTCCAAGGGGATGCAAGTCTAGGCCTCAGTGATGCTGGGAAGCAGGGTCCGTTCTACTTGTAAGACTAGTCTGGGAAATGCCAGGTATAGTTGGGCATTGATTTCTCTGACTATGTGACAAGGAGGTTGAAGCAGGGGTGTGAAATATTGTTTCTTTCTGTTAGGAATAAAAGTTCCTCAAAAATTTTGTAGTGGGTGTATTTCACTCTGTTGGCTTTCCAGCATTTAAACACCACTTTTATATGAGGCAATAACTCACCATGGACTCTTGAAAGAAAGTGAGGGTTCTGCCTCCCACTTGAAATGAAAGGACCAGAATCCTATATAATAAAAGCTTAATATGCAAATCTACCAAACAGGGGGCGGGGCTGGCGAGCAGGCAGTGCCAGGCTGGCCAAGGTGGGTGCCGTGGGTCGCCTCCCGCAGAGGGAGGCCAGACTGTGGCTTAGGCCTGCTCCCTGGACATCCCCCGAGGGCTCATGGTCTGCAAGAGGGAACAGGCCAGGCTGAAGGACACCCCCACCCCGAGTGCATGAATGTTCATGCACCAGGCCTCTAGTTCTAAATATTCCCTCTCCACTCTCCCTGGCTACAGCATTGGCATGTCTCCTAGCCTCAGAGAAGTCAACATTCCCATTGGGACTATGAACCCTACAGGATCCAAGAAATAGGAATAGTTGAAAGATTGTTCCCTGTGATGCTGACAGTGAGGTTCCAGGGGTAGCCAGCCACACCAATGGTACAAGTGAACCAACCAGTCTGTGGCACAAGCTTGGCTACATTTCTTAATCTCAGAGTCTCCCTTAGTTCTTGTTATCTGTTTTCTAAGCCTGATCCTCCAGTCTTCCCAGTGATTCTAAGAGCTATCCTACATCCTGCCAATAAATTTCTTCTTGCTTAATTTAACCAATTTGTTTCTGTTGCTTGCACCACCCAAACTACAACTTATACAACACCAATTATTTATATACACAAAATAAAGACATTTTACATTTTATTGGTAACCCCAGAAAGAAAAATAGAAATTATTTCTCACAACTTTTACAAAATGAAAAACAAAGAATACCTCATTCTATTTAGTAAATCTACTCTACTTTCAATGTATTATGAACAGTAAGTATTGGAAATAGAGGTAGATACTTAAATTTAAAAAGAGAGGCAGACAAGGAGGTTGGAGGAAAAGGTATGAAAGCTCCACAGACAGGAGTGCATGTGAGTAACAACGAAAACAAAACCACGCTAAATTTTTGTCTTAAAGCTCATAGAGTAGTTTTTAAACTGAGAAGCATAAGCTCTGAAATTAAATGTTTGTGTGTATATTATTACAGAAATTCGTGGACAACAAAAGCAGACTAAAAGCTGCCAGATTACATCCATGTCACACAAGGATTGGATAAAAACCATGTGCAGCCCAGCCCATGCACTTCAGAGCATGTTTCCAAATTCCCTGACCTTGAGAAACAGAAGCAAGGAGACTAAAACAATGACAGATAAACTACTAAACACAATAAAGCTAAACTACAGGTCAATATATTATTTTGCTTAATACCTGAAGACTATTTGGAGATTATGAGATTAAGTAAAAATGTAAAAATGCAAAGCAAAATATTTAAAAAGCACTATGCAAAATAAAGGAATATTTAAATTTTCATTCTATTAGATAAGAACTAAGTGTAAAGAGATATAAATAATTATTTGACATTTATTATTAAATTATAACACGTTTCCAAGTAAGAAACCTAGTAAAATAGGAACAATTGACAAATTTTTAGGGGTATGGAAGTTTCTGGATATCAGACACAAAAAAGAGGTGAAATTTATTTTAAAAAGTTATTTGAATGGATAAAACAAAAATAGTTGAAAAGTCAGTTACATCATTGTTTGCATGCCATTTTGATTTCCATTTTTAAATGTATATTTAACCTAAATTGACTTTTAGAAGTTGCTTACTTAGATATAGCTATATTCTGATATTTCTCTAGGAACAAAAAGTCATTTTACATGGTTTA